ATCCAAAACAAAATAGACTTACTCTTGATATCTGTGATTCCCCCAATTTACACTTACACTTACCCAAATGACCGTAAACATAAATTTCCGAATATAGCTACTGCCTAATAAATCTTAAGCTAGTCATAAGTTTGCCTGAAATACTCCAGTACAGGAGCTTTAACCCTTTGACTGTCGCAAGCCCATTTCTGAAGCTGTCATTCTATGTCGCAAAATTTTTGGAAAAAAAAAAATGATTTTTTCTTATGAAATATAGAGAATCTTTTCCTGATGCTATTGATGCCAAAAATACGAAATTTGATCGAAAATTTACGGAATTATGCTCCCTGCGAAGTTAGTGATCTCGGCGATATATACACATTGGCGATTTTGCCAAATTTGAGCCCTTTTTTTTTTGCCAATTCCATTGTTCCAGGCGACCAAACTGATAGCTTTTTCTTTAGAACTCCATTTTTTCTATCAGTTGAATACAAGAAACTGCCAATTTACCAATTTCAACAACCCAATAAAGTGGTCAGAAATTGGCAATTTAGCCAATTTCACACAAATTAAAAAAGATGCCAATTTTAAAATAGGGTCCAGCATAAACAATGCAGACACTCTTGGCACTAAAATAACATATCCTCTGTTTCGTTAGTCACGTCTCCAGGCCCCTCTTATATTACTCTTGCTTTCTATTTTGATTTTTTATTCACAAAAAAATAGAAGATTTACTGTTATGCAGACTACTGCATTATTGTAGAAATGGTATAAATAATATCAGTGCACTAGTGAAAGAATATTAAGCTTCCCAGTTGACGTGTATTGGACGTGTGGTGTGATTTGTTTACTCTTGAACATTGGTAAAAATCGAACATTTCTGCTACTTTGAGCTTAATTTCAAGGTCGTTTTCATCATGAAACTAATCAAAATCATCTCTATTTCTGTAATATGTTTTCCATTCTATCAAATGAGACCAAGAAAACGAGAATACACCCATAAATACTATACAAAAATACACCTCAAAGTCAGTGTTTTAATCCAAAAACAAGGTTGGAGGTTTTTTTTTTCTCATTATGCACCGCGTGCAGCAGGATTTTTTTTATACAGTGCACACTGATCACACAGACCCATTCTCTCACATGTGGGCCTACCAGCTTTCTCCTGTTTGATTTGAAGCTGCTAGAATTATCGAGTATATATATGTCTGAAACACTGGCTCGTAAGACGTATATTTACAGCCGAAGCAGTCAAAGGGTTATAGAAACTGTGTATCATGCAAGACAAAACCATTCTCATTACTAAATTTACAAATTATTATATTCTTAAATGTTTTGAACTACCTCACTATTGTAAATCTATTTAATCAGTACAGTTACGTAACTTTAATATCAGTATGCTCCATAACCTTTGTCAATATAGAGTAAGAATTAGGATTAGTCTGCCCGAAATCCTAGGCATGCTAGTGTCTTTCTTTGTAATTAATATTTTATAATATGTAAGCCACACATTGTAATTAATATTTTATAATATATAAACTCCACATTGTAATCTTTACAGAGAAATAAACATTTCAATTTCAATTATTTTAATATTGCTTTTATTATGTGCAACTTTAAGATTATTCTTCTTATAAACCTCTACCTTGACTACCTCACATTAGTATTAAGGTTAAATTAAGATTTTAACACAAGTTAACCACTCTTATCATGTCAAGATTTATGCAGTTATTATGTACTAGGATTAGTCTGCCCAAAATGCCCCAGCATGATAGGGATTTTCTTTGTATGTAGTAAATCAAAATTGTAATTACACATTGTAACCTTTACAAAGAAATAAAATCTCTATCTTTTATCTTTATTAATGTGCCCAAATTTTTAGCTTCACTCACTATTTGACATGTCCCCCACTTGCCACTCCCTTGTATAGGGTGAGGTGCAACCTTCCCTATATATTCATGTTCTCATTTCACTTATGTATCGGATGAAGGGGATCCTAGAAGGGAATCAAAATATACAGATCAATCAGTCTTCTGAGTTTCTGTCACCATGTGGATTATTAAGCACAATGATTAATTGTTAGCAAAATATACTAAGAATCACATAAAAATCAAAGGATCACCACCAACAACTGTAGCGTAAATAATATAAGTGAGAACACACAGTGTCTCGTAGCTTGATCGCTAGTGCACTCTGCTCACACAATGAGGTCCAGGAATCAATCCTCCAGTATGGCTGGAAAACATTAGGACATGTTTCCATAAGACACCTGCTGTCCCAGTTCATCCATCAGTAAAATGGGCACCTGAGTGTTAGTCAGCTTGCCTGAAATGCTCAACATAACAAGGGGCTTGCTGTATATGTAGTAGTAGTAGTATGTCACTGATGTCAGCTAGGCCTGTATACCTTGTACATGTACTTGTAGAAATAAAGATATTATTATTATTATTATTATTATTATTATTATTATTATTATTATTATTATTATTATTATTATTTTGTAATTAAAACTATTTTGTAATTTTGTTCAGACTAAAAGAAGTGCTGGATGATCCATTGCTGGTAAATCTATGTTGTATCTCTATATTTTTTTATTTTGATTGGGGATAAGTATCTGTAATGAAATTTCCATTAATGGATCTGCTGCTAAATTGAAATTTGTAGACAGAAGTGTTGAACTATGATGAGGTAATTTATTTATGTCAGCATCATACAAAATTATTATAGTATGTATAAATAATTTGTGTTCAGTCAATTATGCTACACACAAGTAACACGATAAATCAGAAGAGTTTATTTCCATAGAGATCTAAGATTTTGCACAACAGATTTTTTTTTTTAAAACCCTTTGACTGTCGCGGTGACCGAATATACGTTGAAAGGTCCCGCCATTGAAAATACTTAATATCATCAAATTCTACGCTCTCCAAAATCATGTGAGAGAAGCTAGTAGCCCAACATGTAAAATGGGTTACGTGTCAGTTCACACATAAAAATAAATCCTGAGCACGCATGCCATAATGAGAAAAAAAAAACTCGACCGTTTTTTTTAATTAAAATGACCGACTTTGTGGTCTATTTTCGTATAGTATTTGTGGTTGTATTCTCGTTTCCTTGGTCTACATTTGATAGAATGGAAACTATATTATAGAAATGGAGTGATTTTGATTAATTTTACTATAAAAAGACCTGGAAATGGAGCACAAAGTACAGGAAATGTTTGATTTTTGCCGATGTTCAAAAGTGAACAAATGATGTCATTGTCCAATAAATGTCCAAATAGTCATTCTAATACGCAGTCATGAATGGTTGATGTAATTTTACAATTATTACAGTATTGCAGTAGTCTGCATAACAGTAAATCTTCTATTTTTTGTTTGAATAAAATTTCAAAATAAAAAGCAAGAGTAATATCACAGGGGCCTGGAGACATGACTGATGAACAAAGAAATTGTTATTTTAGAGCCAGGAATGTCTGCATTGTTCATCTGGACCTTATTTTTGAAATTGTCGTATTTTTTAATTTTCGTGAAATTGCCAAATTGCAAATTTCTGACCATGTTATTAGGTAGTTGAAATCGGTAAATAGGGCATTTCTGTACTCAATCGATAGAAAAAATATAGTTGAAGAAATATTATGAGTTTGTTGACTGGAATAACTGGATTAGCCGAAAATGGGCTCAAAGTGGGCGAAATTGCCGATTTTTAATCGCCGAAGTTAACTTCGCAGGGAATTCCGTCAGTTTTCAATAATTTCGTTTTTTGTAGTCTTTACATCGGAAAAGATTCGTCTATACATTTCATAAGAAAAAATCATTTTTTTTTTCAGAAGTTTATTTGCCATCCAGAGATCTCAGGATTTGGCGACATCAAAGGTTTTTTTTAACAAGTCGGCCGTCTCCCACCGAGGCAGGGTGACCCAAAAAGAAAGAAAATCCCCCCCAAAAAAATACTTTAATTATCATTCAACACTTTTACCTCACTCACACATAATCACTGTTTTTGTAGAGGTGCTCAGAATACAACAGTTTAAAGCATATACGTATCAAGATACACAACATATCCCTCCAAACTGCCAATATCCCAAACCCCTCCTTTAAAGTGCAGGCATTGTACTTCCTATTTCCAGGACTCAAGTCCGGCTATATAAAATAACCTGTTTCCCTGAATCCCTTCACTAAATATTACCCTGCTCACACTCCAATAGCTCGTCAGGTTCCTAATACCATTCGTCTCCATTCACTCCTATCTAACATACTCATGCACATTTGCTGGAAGTCCAAGCCCCTCGCCCATAAAACCTCCTTTACCCCCTCCCTCCAACCTTTTCGAGGACGATCCCTATCCCGTCTTCCTTTCCCTACAGATTTATACGCTCTCCATGTCATTCTACTTTGCTCCATTCTCTCTAAATGACCAAACCACCTCAACAACCCCTCTTCAGCCCTCTGACTAATACTTTTATTAACTCCACACCTTCTCCTAATTTCCACACTCCGGATTTTCTGCATAATATTTACACCACACATTGCCCTTAGACAGGACATCTCCACTGCCTCCAACTGCCTCCTCATTATAGGTAGTAGGTTGGTAGACAGCAACCACCCAGGGAGGTACTACTGTCCTGCCAAGTGAGTGTAAAATGAAAGCCTGTAATTGTTTTACATGATGGTAGGATTGCTGGTGTCTTTTGTCTGTCTCATAAATATGCAAGATTACAGGCATGTCTTACTACTTCTACTTACACTTAGGTCACACTACACATACATGTACACGTTTATTTATACACACTCATCTGAGTTTTCTTTGATTTTATCTTAATAGTTCTTGTTCTTATTACTTTTCCTTTTATATCCATGGGGAAGTTGAATAAGAATCTTTCCTCTGTAAGCCATGCGTGTTGTAAAAGTCAACTAAAATGCTGGGAACAATGGGCTAGTAACCCCTTTTCCTGTAATAATTACTAAAAAGAATAAGAAGAAAATTGTCACAACAGATATGTAGTATTATAATAATATTTGTATCCACAGATTGTTGAGTTAACAAACCTGTCTGGAGAGGAAATAGACATAATGAGAGACACCAATCAGCGTTTCTGGGCAGTAGTGGACAAGAATGGTGGGATGTACACCTATACCTTGAAGTTCCTCACAAGTTCAGTTAATTTCCCATTATCTGTAACTGTGGATGCATATGAGAGAAAACAAGATGACACTGGCATTGAGGTAAAGCTCTTCACCAACAATGATGGACAGGTGCCCCTGGAGCCTGGTTCAAAACCTTTGGTAGTATGGGCTGAGGTGACCTGGATGGATGCCCGGTTGTGGGGTCAAAGGTCATGCTGAGAGTAAGTCACCTAAGTGAGGATGGGTCAACAGACATGATGGTAGAGCTTCTTGACAATGGAAATGCAGGTATGTACAAGTAATGCACACTTTTCACTTTTAAAAATCCATTCTGCATACTAGTTCTGATGACCTACTAGCAACCAACCAACCCACAGTTGCACATTTACTCATTTCAGATACACTTCAAATAAGGCAATCATTCACTTTTTACTCAGAATGCCTCCACATTCCCTTGTTTCCTATTTTGTTTTCCATTTTCTATTGACCATAGTCATCAGGAAGTGCCTTCAGAGAAGCCTTGAGACAACCACCATGGAGGAAGGTACATATTACTATCCAGTTAGATCAGAGTTTGGGGAACTGGGGTAAATTACCCCAAATGGGGTAAAAATGAAAATCTTTAAGGATAATGAAGGCTCAGTAACCATATAAATAAAATTGCACAAAAATTTATTATTTAATCCCTTGACTATCACGATCCCAAATCCTGAAGTGTCTCTCAATGTCACAAAATATTCGAAGAAAAAAAAAATCTTATGAAAATGATAATCTTTAACTGATGGTAATGACACCAAAAGTATGAAATTTGATGGAAAACTTAGGGAATTACGCTCTCGCAAAGTTAGCGATCTCAGAAATATACACGGATCGGCGATTTCGCCCACTTAGAGCCCTATTTTCAGCCAATTCCATTGTTCCAGTCGACCAAATTCATAGCTATTTCTTTAGAACTCCATTTGTTCTATTGATTGAGTACAAGAAACTGCCCATATACTGTCCATAAACAAGACAGACATTCCTGGCACTAAAATAACATTTTCTCTGTTCATTAGTCACATCTCCAGGCCCCTCTTATATTACTCTTGCTTTCCATTTTGAATTTTTATTCTCACAAAAAGTAGAAGATTTACTGTTATGCAGACTACTGCATTATTGTAAAAATGGTATAAATAATATCAGCGCACTTGTGAAAGAAAATCAGATTCACCAGTTGATGTGTATTGGACACGTGGCGTGATTTGTTTACTCTTGAACATTGGCAAAAATCAAACATTTCTGCTTTGAGTCAATTTCAAGGTACTTTTCATTGTGAAACCAATCAAAATCATCTCTATTTCTGTAATATATCATCCATTCTATCAAATGAGACCACGAAAACTAGAATTCAGCCATAAATACCATACGAAAACACACTGCAAAGTCGCTGTTTTAAACCAAAAACACGGTCAGAATTTTTTTCTTTTTCTCATTATGCACTGCATGCTGCAGGATTTTTTTTATACTGACCACACAGACCCATTCTCTCACATGTGGGCCTACCAGCTTTCTCCTGCTTGATTTGAAGCTGCTAGAATTTTGGCGTAATAATACGTTGAAAACATTGGCTTGTAAGACGTATATATACATGGCCGAAAACAGTCAAAGGGTTAATTAATAAGCAAAGAGAATCATGAAAGTTATGCCCCTTGTGTTTTCTGGATTCTGTGGACTTTCAAGTCTAGTGAGTAATTTCACTGTACACAAATTTATTTTGGGGTAATACCCATAAAAGTTTGCTGACTTGGTAATGACAAACCTCCAACCATCTCATAAAAAGCCAGGATAACACCCATTCACAAAGGTGACAATCAATTAAATGTTAACAAATCCAGAGTAATATCAGATTTACCAATACTATCAAGAATATTTGAGAAAATAATAAAGATTTTATTTCTTTGCAAAGGTTACAATGTGTAAATTACAATTTTGGTTTGTTAAGTACAAAGAAAGCCACTATCATGCCAGGTCATTTTGGCAACAATCAGATGCAGACATACTTAAATAGCATTATGTATAAATGTCATGCTTTGCTTGTGGAATTTACCAACTTGGCCTGTTTGGCAAGGATTGTTTTCCAGAGCTTATGTTAATGTATTCTCTTACATTAATATAGAAATTAACATGAGGTTAATAGAAATTATTCTTGAAGTGGATAAACTCTATATGTTGTGATTATGTGTATATTGTATACAGAGCCAGATGTGCGTGCTCAGGATGGGGTATACACAAGGTATGTGACATGGTTGCCAGGGGAGGGACGCTATGCCCTTTCTGCTACCGCATCTGACCACCATGGGGCAGCCTCTGTCCTCAAGCCCAGGAAGAGTGGTGAGTCCTGCATCTTAATTTTCACCTCATTTTAGATCACTATTGTTAGGACAGCTTATGTTGTGCTCGCATAGGGGCATAGGGTTGCCAAAGTTATTGTCTTTTCCATTTTATAAATAACACACTGATGCTCTACAGGCTAGATTTCCTGGCTAGATTCACTATGCCACCATCTGGTAAAAAAAAGGACCTACATCTAACCCAAGTGGGAAATGTAATTGTAATAGCCTCTGATTTTCAACTTTGTCAGCTTGGTTATTGTTGTCTTCTTTTACATGTTTGTGGTGCATTATTATCAAGTTAAATTTTAATTATGTATTTCTCACTTGTTTCTTCACCTTCCTGGTCACTGTAGAGCTAATTATAATTTATCCCTGTTACAAAAAATTTGAATGCATAACAATGAAGTGTGTTGGATTGAAGTGAATGTTTCACAGTGAAGTGAGTGTGTCACAGTGAAGTAAGTTTGTCATGGTGAAGTATTTCATAGTGAAGTAAGAGTGTCACAGTGAAGTGAGTGTGTCACAGTGAAGTGAGTTACCATAACAGGTGTACATCTTCTTTCAACAAACTGGCCGCGTCCCACTGAAGCAGGGTGGCCCAAAAAGAAAAAGTAAAGTTTCTCTTTTTAACTTTAGTAATGTACACAGAAGAAGGGGTTGCTAGCTCCTTGCTTCCCGGCAGGTTAGTCACCTCTTATGACATGCATGGCTTACAAAAGAAGAATTCTGTATATATCCGACATTCATCTTTGTAAATATACAGGGTCTAAAGCCGGCAACGAACGACAAAATACCTTTCATCTGTAGACTGCTTACAGAGTCAAACGCAATGTACACAGTTTTCAGAGACCCACATAAAGGATCACTTTGACAATGAAATATGGATCCCGGGTTATAACCATACAGATGTGACACAGTGAACAGACAAAAGGTTGGGGAGGGGGGGGATGATTGGCTTGTACATCACAGAATCGCTGATGTGCTTGGAACTACTTAATGCCTCAAATGATGTAGTTGAAGTTTTGGCAGTAAAGATCAAGAACCAAAACCTGGTCATTTTGGATGTATACAAGCCTCCGGATGCAACTTCCCAACAATTCCATGAACAGCTTGTGGAAATTGATCAGTGTCTGGAAAATCTTCCAGCTCCTGCACAAAATATCTTGCTCCTGGGGGATTTCAACCTAAGGCACCTAAAATGGAGGAATGTAGCAAATAATGTTGTAGCAAAGATAACACCAGGGGGCAGCTCAGATGAAATCTTGCACACACATGAGCTTTTAAATCTCTGCACCAAATTCACCTTAAACCAGCAAAAAATAGAGCCTACAAGACTGGAGAATATACTTGACCTCATCTTCACTAACAATGATGATCTGATACAAAATATTACCACATCAAGAATAATATACTCAGATCACAACATAATAGATGTTCAAACATATATGCAGGGCCCCAGACTGACAAAATGTGATCAGTCATGAGGGAGCCTTCAAATTCAAAGTTAATAACAAAAACATAAGATGGGACCAAGTCATCCAGGCCCTAAATGATATAAACTGGGAAGATAGCCTAAGGATCATGGATCCAAACCTATGTCTAGAACAAATTAACTCTGTGGCACTCGAGGTATGCTCCAGGCATATTCCTTTAAGGAAAAGGAAGAGAAGATGTAAACTAGAAAGGGAAAGGTGCTCCCTATACAGGAAAAGGCTAAGAATAACAGAGCAGCTAAAAGAGGCCAATATATCTGTAATATGTAGGGAGACACTGGTCAGAGAAATAGCAAACATCGAACTAAAGCTAAAGGAATCTTACAGGAGTCAAGAAATGCGGAAAGAACTAACACCCATAGATGAAATTAAAGAAACCCAAAATATTTCTTTTCTTATACCAAATTAAAGTCGAGAACAACATCCAGTATCGGGCCCCTACTTAAACAAGATGGGTTCTACACAGATGACGGCTAGGAAATTAGTGAGCTACTAAAGACCCAGCATGACTTGGTTTTTAGTGAGCCGCTAACCAGACTGAGAGTCAAAGCTCTAAATGAATTTTTTATGAGAGAGAGAGATAGAATTTGGCAGACTCAAACCTATCTGATACAGTGAAACCCCGGTTTTCGCCTTTAATCCATTCCAGAAGGTTGGCCAAAAACCAATTTGTATGAAAACTAAAGTAATATTTCCCATAAGAAATAATGTAAATTCAATTAATCCGTTCCAGACACCCAAAAAAATTAAAAAAAATACATTTTATAGAGAATAACTATAGTCTTACTTATAGAAAACAATGAGAAATAAATATAAATGACTAATGAAATGGATAAATGAACATTTAACATCACTTATACTTTTATTGAAGACTCTTGTTGGCATATGGATGACGGCGAGGAGGGGAGAGGGAGGAGAAGTTATTGTTTGGAAGGGGAATCCCCCTCCATAAGGACTTCAGGTATGAAAGCCCTGTCTAGGGTTACTTCCCTTCTTTATCTTTTACTGGAACTAGGACCAGCTTGAGAGTCACTGGATCCCTGTTGCACAAAACACCTGTTCAGAGAGGCCTGTTTCTGGCATCTCTTTAAGATTTGCCTAAAATGGAACACAGCATTGTCATTGAACATGTTGCGGACACGGCTTGCAACAGCTTTGTTAGGGTGATATTTCTCCACAAAATTTTGCACCTCACTCCACTTTTCCCTAATGTCCTTAATTGCTGAAGAAGACACTTTCTCCCCTCTCTCTTCCTCCTCCTCTGAAGCAATTTCCTCAGCTAAGGTGTGTTGCTGTTCCAGATGAAGGTCTTGCAGCTCTTCAGTGGTTAGCTCTTCCCTGTGGTCGTCCACCAACTCTTCCACATCCTGGCCACTCACCTCCAACCCCATGGACTTCACCAAAGACACAATAGATTCCACAACAGGCATAGGGTCGTCTGGGTCAGCCTCAAACCCTTCAAAATCCTTCTGGAGGACACAGTCTGGCCACAATTTTCTCCAAGAAGAGTTAATTGTCCTGGAAGTCACTCCCTGCCAAGCCTTATCTATAAGGCCTATGCAACTGAGGATATTGAAGTGATTCCTCGAGAACTCTTTTAGGGTCAATTCAGTGTCCGAGGTCACTTCAAAGCACCTTTGAAACATTGCTTTGGTGTAATGTTTTTTGAAGTTTGAAATGACCTGTTGGTTCATGAGCTGGATGAGAGGAGTGGTATTAGGGGGCAAGAACTTCACTGTTATGAAACTAAACTCCCCCAACAATTGGTCTTCCAAGTCTAGAGGATGAACAGGAGCATTGTCCATTACCAGGAGGCATTTGAGTGGCAATTTTTTTTCCAGGAGGTATTTCTTGACACTCAGGCCAAACACTTCATTGACCCACTCAGTGAAAATTTGCCTCGTGACCCATGCCTTATTGTTAGCCTGCCACAACACACACAGTTTACTTTTGATGACATTGTTTTTCTTGAACACTGGGATTTTCAGAGTGATACACCAGTAAAGGTTTCACTTTGAAATCCCCACTAATGTTACCACAGAACAAAAGAGTAAGTCTATCCTTCATAGGCTTGTGTCCTGGCAGTGCCTTTTCCTCCTGTATGATGTAGGTCCTCTTTGGCATTTGCTTCCAAAAGAGGCCTGTCTCGTCACAATTGAAGATTTGTTGGGGGAGGAATCCTTCAGCCTCTATGTACTTCTTGAATTCATCAACGAATTCTTCGGCCCCACATTTGTCTGAACTTGCAGCCTCAACATGCCTTACCACAATGTGTATGCCACTATGCTTCTTGAATTTGTCAAACCAGCCTTTGCTGGCCTTAATTCACTAACAGCAGCACTTGTTCCCGGAATTTTCTTTATGAGATCCACGTGCAACTGCCTTGTCTTTTCGCAAATTATCACCTCCACAACACTATCTCCTGCTAACTGTTTTTGGTTGATCCACACCAACAATAACTTCTCAACATCTTCGATTGTTTGTGATCTCTGTTTTGTTAGCATATTTACCCCTTTCGCAACATCAGCTTCCCTGATTTCTTTTTTCTTTGTCAGGATGGAACTGATAATTGATTTGAACTTCCTATACATCCTGGTAAGCTCAGCCACATGTACGCCACTTTTGTATTTTTCTACAAGTTCTTTTTTGAATTCTATCGTGTTTCTCACCTTCTTTACCAAAGGGCTGGCACTGGAATTTTCTTTGGCCCTATGGTGGCTTATTTAGCAGTTGCAAGCACAAAAAACAATGGATTATTACGAAATGTTTTGGATGAACGCGTGGAGTAGTGCTCACTGAACGAGTAACAAAGGCAGACAGAGTCACGAACGAATGAGCAGCCATGTCCCATAGGCAGGCAGATGCGTCTGGTATGGACAATTTCCGAGCGGATGTAAGAAAATGGGGAAAATTTCGCTGAAAAAAGTGGTCGAAAACTGAATTGTACGATAACTGGACCGGATGAAAACTGGGGTTCCACTGTATTACCATGACACCAAATGACTTTGAAAAGGCAATGAATGACATGCCTATGCACTCTGCCCCAGGCCAAGACTCATGGAACTCTATGTTTATCATGAACTGCAAGAAGCCCCTATCATGTGCTTTTAACATTCTGTGGAAAGGGAGCATGAACACGCATTATCCTACAACTGCTATAAATAACAGACATAGCTCCACTTCACAAAGGGGGGCAGTAAAGCAATAGCAAAGAACTACAGACTGATAGCACTAATGTCCCATATCATAAAAATCTTTGAAAGGGTTCTAAGAAGCAAGATAACCACCCATCTAGATTCCCATCAGTTACACAACCCAGGGCAACATAGGTTTAGAGCAGGTCACTCCTGTCTATCCCAACTACTGGATGACTATGACAAGGTCCTGGATTCTCTAGAAGACAAAATGCAGATGTATTATACACAAACTTTGCAAAAGCCTTTGACAAGTGTGACCATGGTGTAATAGCGTACAAAATGCATGATAAAGGAGTAACAGAAAAAGTTGGCAGGTGGATCTATAATTTCCTAACAAATAGAACACAAGGAGTAGTAGTAAACAGAGTAAAGTCCGAGACGGCTTCAGTGAAAAGCTCTGCTCCACAAAGCACAGTCCTCGCTCCCATCCTGTTCATCATCCTCGTATCTGACATAGACAAGGATGCAAGTCACAGTGTCTTCCTGGAGTTTACCTGGAGAGAGTTCCGGGGTTCAACGCCCCCGCGGCCCGGTCTGTGACCAGGCCTCCTGGTGGATCAGAGCCTGATCAACCAGGCTGTTACTGCTGGCTGCACACAAACCAACGTACGAGCCACAGCCCGGCTGGTCAGGTTCCGACTTTAGGTGCGTGTCCAGTGCCTGCTTGAAGACTGCCAGGGGTCTATTGGTAATCCCCCTTATGTGTGCTGGGATGTATGCAGATGACACCCGAATTTGCATGACAGTGTCCTCCATTGAAGACACCGCAAGATTCCAGGCGGCCATCAACCAAATCTTTAAATGGGCCTCAGAAAACAATATAAAGTTCAATGATGAAAAATTTCAATTACTCCTATATGGAAAATGTGAGGAAATTAAAATTACATCGGAGTATAAAACAAATTCCAACTACACAATAGAGCGAAAAACTAACATAAAAGACCTGGGAGTGATCATGTCAGAGGATCTCACCTTCAAAGACCATAACATTGTTTCAATCGCATCTGCTGAAAAATGACAGGTTGGATAATGAGAACCTTCAAAACTAGGGATGCCAAGACCATGATGACACTCTTCAGGTCACTTGTTCAATCTAGGCTGGAATATTGCTGCACACTAACAGTACCTTTCAAGGCAGGTGAAACTGCTGACCTAGAAAGTGTATAGAGAACCTTCACGGCACACATAACTGCAATAAAACACCTCAATTACTGGGAACACTTGAAGTTCCTCAACCTGTACTCCCTAGAATGCAGGCGGGAGAGATACATGATTATATACACTTGGAAAATCCTAGAGGGATTAGTACCAAACTTACACATGAAAATCACTCCCTATGAAAGCAAAAGACTCGGCAGATGATGCAACATCCCCCGAATGAAAAGCAGGGGCCCCACTAACACAATAAGATACAACACAATAAGTGCCAGGGGCCCAAGACTGTTCAACTGCCTCCCAGCATACATAAAGGGGATTACCAATAGATCCTTGGCTGTTTTCAAGAAGGCACTGGACATGCACCTAAAGTCAGTGCCCGACCAGCCGGGCTGTGGTTCGTATGTCGGGGTGTGTGTGGCCAGCAGTAAGAGCCTGGTTGATCAGGCCCTGATCCACCATCAGGCCTGGTCACAGACCAGGCCATGGGGGGTGTTGACCCCCGAAACTCTCTCCAGGTATACTCCAGGTATCTGGTCTTGAAGTATGGTTGTGGTGTAGTAATATGCATTTTATGTCCAGCAGATGGTCATGTGGTGCCAGTGAGTGCTGGTCATTTCACAGCCAATAGTGGTGTGCTGTCACTCACTGTGGCTCGTGTCACCTCTGCTGACCTCATACCACCTTCAAGAGTTACTGACTTAGCGGTGACCTCTGTGCAAGACACTACTGTTAACCTCACTTGGTCAGCACCAGGTGGGGACCTGGATCAAGGCTCAGGTTAGTTAATGTGATTGAGTAAAGCTCTTTTTTTGTGTTCACTTATCATCTACTTGATATAGTATTCATATCATAATAAGATTATAGATTTTTTGAATTTATGATACTGTAAAATTATTTAATTTAATAGTTGACATCTTTTTATGGTGTTTAAAAATTACCATACATGATGGTTGTCTGTGATTGTTGTTGTGGTCAACAGCATGGGTGTATGAACTGAAAATGTATACAGAGCGGAGCGCCCTTAGTGAGGAGCGGTTCAACACTTCCACCATTGCTGTTTACTGCATCACCCATGACTTGCGTGCGCCCACCCAGACCCCTGCCTCTTATGGCACTCCACAACACTGCCTCACTGAGCTGCCCTTCACCAACCTCAGATGGTATAGTGCCTTTAACCCTTTGAGGGTCGAGACTCCCATTCTTTAACCCTTAAACTGTCCAAACAGATCTACGTTCACATGCGTAGTGCTTCAAAAGTAGATCTACGTTTTTTACATATTTTCAAATATAACAAAAAAAAAAAGTAGATCAAAGTTTTTTTTACACGTTTTCAAATGTAAAAAAAAAAAGAATATCTATGTTTTTTACATACTTTCAAATGTTGAAAAACGTAGATCTACGTTTGGACAATTAAAAGGTTAACTCACTCTCAGGGTCGAAAAATTTTCAAAAAAAAAAAAAAAAAAAATTTTCTTGTGAAATGATAGAGAATCTTTTCCCGATGGTAATGACACCAAATGTGTGAAATTTGATGGAAAACTTATGAAATTATGCTCTTGCAAATTTAGCGATATTTACGCATCAGTGATTTCACCCACTTTGAGCCGTATTTTCAGCCAATTCCATTATTAACCCATAAACGGTCCAAACGTATATATATATGTTTTTTCAATCATTTGATAGTATGTAAAAAAAGTAGATCTTCTTTTTTGCTTTTTACATTTGAAAATGTGTAAAAAAACTTTGATCTACGTTTTTTTGTTATATTTGAAAATATGTAAAAAAAAACGTAGATCTACTTTTGGAGCACTACGCATGTGAATGTAGATCTGCTTGGACCATTTACAGGTTAAAGTTGACTAAAATCATAGCTATTTCACTAGAACTCCATTTGTTCTATCAGTTGAGTACAAGAAACTGCCCATTTACTGATTTCAACTACCTAATAAAGTGGTCAGAAATTTACAATTTAGCCAATTTCAACCAAATTTCAAAAGATGCCAATCTCAAAATAGGGTCCAGAATTAACAAGACAGACATTCTTGGCACTAAAATAACATTTTCTCTGTTCATTAGTCACATCTCCAGGCCCCTCTTGTATTACTCTTGCTTTCCATTTTGAATTTTTATTCTCAAAAAAAAAAAAATAGAAGATTTACTGTTATGCAGACTACTGCATTATTGTAAAAATGGTATAAATAATATCAGTGCACTTGTGAAGGAATATTAGACTCACTAGTTGACGTGTATTGGATGTATGGCGTGATTTGTTTACTCTTGAACATCGGCAAAAATCAAACATTTCCGGTACTTTGAGCTCAATTTCAAGGTACTTTTCATTGTGAAACCAATCATCTCTATTTCTGTAATATGTCTTCCATTCTATCAAATGAAAAAAGAAAACTAGAATTCAACCATAAATACCATACGAAAACATACTGCAAAGTCGTTGTTTTAAACCAAAAACACGGTCGGAGTTTTTTCTTTTTCTCATTATGCACTGCGTGCTGCAAGATTTTTTCATACTGTGCACACTGACCATGCAGACCCATTCTCTCACATGTAGGCCTACCAGTTTTCTCCTGCTCGATTTGAAGGTGCTCGAATTTTGGCGTATAAGTATGGGACCGACCCTGGCCGTTAAGCTGTACATGTACGGGACCGACCCTGAAAGGGTTAACACCTCTTCTAATGCTACACTTTATATGTGCGCCCATACTTGTTTGTCTCTGTTGTTTTCATCCATTTGTATAGTATTTGGAAGCAGAGCTAGATAATTATTACACTATATTCATGGGAAACAAGTCAACTTGCAGGGGTCATGCAGCACCTGGGGATTGGCAGGTAATAAAGTTTAAGCTGATGAAGGGAAAGGTATCTCTCATTTTTTAGATCAAGAGCCTTTCATTATCAAGGTACAACCCCGTGAAGGAAATGTAGAATACTGTAGAAAAATCCAATTTAAATCATGGTGTTACTTTAAAATTGTAGAACAGTCATGATTAATGAGTCATATAAGTCAGTAAGGTTTGTATTATGCCAGTGAATGTATATATGCTAGAATTATTGCAGTTCTTAATGCTATGTTAACCTTCTCTCACTCTCTCTAGTTACCATCACATCCACTTTTAATCCCATTTCCAATTATTTTTAGCCACCTGAAAATCTTATCAGTAAACATATTAAACAAATTTGAGGAAACTGAATACAGGTACAGTATCCAACCCATGGACACCACTCAACAAAATTTTGTGCTTTACAGTAATTAATACAGTGGACCCCCGCATAACGATTACCTCCGAATGTGACCAATTATGTAAGTGCATTTGTACGTGTATGTTTGGGGGTCTGAAATGGACTAATCTACTTCACAATATTTCTTATGGGAACAAATTCGGTCAGTACTGGCACCTGAATATACTTCTGGAGTGAAAAAATATCATTAACCAGGGGTCCACTGTAAGTACGTACTTTCATGGCATCTGCTGTGGTGTACCAACATGTCAGTGGACCAGCCTCTTGGCATCTTTTTATTTTAATCTTTCTGGTTTCTTCTCTGCTTAATGTTTCACTTTCTCTTTTCTATATTATCAGACACACCTATGCATTTTCCTCTACATTGTATGATTGCCCGTTTGGCCATAGTGCCCTGTAAATTTGAAACTTATTTTCTTCCTTTTCCTTAAAGAGCTAAGTAACAGTCCCAGAAGATGCAGCTCAGCTCACCTCCCTCAAGAAGCAAAGCTTGTGAGCTGCAGCTCAACACCCCCAAATACAGCTAGTTGAGTACAAATTGGAACTTAGTCTTCTGAAACACATTTAGGCTTGTAGTCAGCCCAGAATCTTAACTCAATCATTCAAATAATTGATATTAAATAGGAAGCTTTACAATATGACCAAGCATAAGGGTTTTAAATTTCAGATAATTGAGACGAGGCTTCCTGAAAATATTGTCTAAAAAACAAAAGTATTGGAAAAATATATAAATAAATATACACCTCAACTGGTTTCTTTTTCTGTCTCATAAACACGCTAAGATAACAGGGATATCTTGCTACTCCTACTAACACTTTGGTCACACTTCACAGACACGCACATGCATATATATATATACATACATCTAGGTTTTTCTCCTTTTTCTAAATAGCTCTTGTTCTTTTTTATTTCTTCTATTGTCCATGGGGAAGTGGAAAAGAATCTTTCCTCCGTAAGCCATGCGTGTCGTATGAGGCGACTAAAATGCCGGGAGCAATGGGCTAGTAACCCCTTCTCCTGTATACAATTACTAAAAAAGAGAAGAAGAAAAACTTTATAAAACTGGGTTGCTTAAATGTGCGTGGATGTAGTGCGGATGACAAGAAACAGATGATTGCTGATGTTATGAATGAAAAGAAGTTGGATGTCCTGGCCCTAAGCGAAACAAAGCTGAAGGGGGTAGGAGAGTTTCAGTGGGGGGAAATAAATGGGATTAAATCTGGAGTATCTGAGAGAGTTAGAGCAAAGGAAGGGGTAGCAGTAATGTTAAATGATCAGTTATGGAAGGAGAAAAGAGAATATGAATGTGTAAATTCAAGAATTATGTGGATATTAAAGTAAAGGTTGGATGCGAGAAGTGGGTCATAATAAGCGTGTATGCACCTGGAGAAGAGAGGAATGCAGAGGAGAGAGAGAGATTTTGGGAGATGTTAAGTGAATGTATAGGAGCCTTTGAACCAAGTGAGAGAGTAATTGTGGTAGGGGACTTGAATGCTAAGTAGGAGAAACTTTAGAGAGGGTGTGGTAGGTAAGTTTGGGGTGCCAGGTGTAAATGATAATGGGAGCCCTTTGATTGAACTTTGTATAGAAAGGGGTTTAGTTATAGGTAATACATATTTTAAGAAAAAGAGGATAAATAAGTATACACGATATGATGTAGGGCGAAATGACAGTAGTTTGTTGGATTATGTATTGGTAGATAAAAGACTGTTGAGTAGACTTCAGGATGTACATGTTTTATAGAGGGGCCACAGATATATCAGATCACTTTCTAGTTGTAGCTACACTGAGAGTAAAAGGTAGATGGGATACAAGGAGAATAGAAGCATCAGGGAGAGAGAGGTGAAGGTTTATAAACTAAAAGAGGAGGCAGTTAGGGTAAGATATAAACAGCTATTGGAGGATAGATGGGCTAATGAGAGCATAGGCAATGGGGTCGAAGAGGTATGGGGTAGGTTTAAAAAATGTAGTGTTAGAGTGTTCAGCAGAAGTTTGTGGTTACAGGAAAGTGGGTGCAGGAGGGAAGAGGAGCGATTGGTGGAATGATGATGTAAAGAGAGTAGTAAGGGAGAAAAAGTTAGCATATGAGAAGTTTTTACAAAGTAGAAGTGATGCAAGGAGGGAAGAGTATATGGAGAAAAAGAGAGAGGTTAAGAGAGTGGTGAAGCAATGTAAAAAGAGAGCAAATGAGAGAGTGGGTGAGATGTTATCAACAAATTTTGTTGAAAATAAGAAAAAGTTTTGGAGTGAGATTAACAAGTTAAGAAAGCCTAGAGAACAAATGGATTTGTCAGTTAAAAATAGGAGAGGAGAGTTATTAAATGGAGAGTTAGAGGTATTGGGAAGATGGAAGGAATATTTTGAGGAATTGTTAAATGTTGATGAAGATAGGGAAGCTGTGATTTCGTGTATAGGGCAAGGAGGAATAACATCTTGTAGGAGTGAGGAAGAGCCAGTTGTGAGTGTGGGGGAAGTTCGTGAGGCAGTAGGTAAAATGAAAGGGGGTAAGGCAGCCGGGATTGATGGGATAAAGATAGAAATGTTAAAAGCAGGTGGGGATATAGTTTTGGAGTGGTTGGTGCAATTGTTTAATAAATGTATGGAAGAGGGTAAGGTACCTAGGGATTGGCAGAGAGCATGCATAGTTCCTTTGTATAAAGGCAAAGGGGATAAAAGAGAGTGCAAAAAATTATAGGGGGATAAGTCTGTTGAGTGTACCTGGTAAAGTGTATGGTAGAGTTATAATTGAAAGAATTAAGAGTAAGACGAGAAAGGATAGCAGATGAACAAGGAGGCTTTAGGAAAGGTAGGGGGTGTGTGGCCCAGGTGTTTACAGTGAAACATATAAGTGAACAGTATTTAGATAAGGCTAAAGAGGTCTTTGTGGCATTTATGGATTTGGAAAAGGCGTATGACAGGGTGGATAGGGGGCAATGTGGCAGATGTTGCAAGTGTATGGTGTAGAGGTAGGTTACTGAAAGCAGTGAAGAGTTTTTACGAGGATAGTGAGGCTCAAGTTAGAGTATGTAGGAAAGAGGGAAATTTTTTCCAGTAAAAGTAGGACTTAGACAAGGATGTGTGATGTCACCGTGGTTGTTTAATTTTTATAGATGGGGTTGTAAGAGAAGTAAATGCGAGGGTCTTGGCAAGAGGCGTGGAGTTAAAAGATAAAGAATCACACACAAAGTGGGAGTTGTCACAGCTGCTCTTTGCTGATGACACTGTGCTCTTGGGAGATTCTGAAGAGAAGTTGCAGAGATTGGTGGATGAATTTGGTAGGGTGTGCAAAAGAAGAAAAAATTAAAGGTGAATACAGGAAAGAGTAAGGTTATGAGGATAACAAAAAGATTAGGTGATGAAAGATTGAATATCAGATTGGAGGGAGAGAGTATGGAGGAGGTGAACGTATTCAGATATTTGGGAGTGGACGTGTCAGCGGATGGGTCTATGAAAGATGAGGTGAATCATAGAATTGATGAGGGAAAAAGAGTGAGTGGTGCACTTAGGAGTCTGTGGAGACAAAGAAACTTTGTCCTTGGAGGCAAAGAGGGGAATGTATGAGAGTATAGTTTTACCAACGCTCTTATATGGGTGTGAAGCGTGGGTGATGAATGTTGCAGCGAGGAGAAGGCTGGAGGCAGTGGAGATGTCATGTCTGAGGGCAATGTGTGGTGGTGAATATAATGCAGAGAATTCGTAGTTTGGAAGTTAGGAGGAGGTGCGGGATTACCAAAACTGTTGTCCAGAGGGCTGAGGAAGGGTTGTTGAGGTGGTTCGGACATGTAGAGAGAATGGAGCGAAACAGAATGACTTCAAGAGTGTATCAGTCTGTAGTGGAAGGAAGGCGGGGTAGGGGTCGGCCTAGGAAGGGTTGGAGGGAGGGGGTAAAGGAGGTTTTGTGTGCGAGGGGCTTGGACTTCCAGCAGGCATGCTTGAGCGTGTTTGATAGGAGTGAATGGAGACAAATGGTTTTTAATACTTGACGTGCTGTTGGAGTGTGAGCAAAGTAACATTTATGAAGGGATTCAGGGAAACCGGCAGGCCGGACTTGAGTCCTGGAGATGGGAAGTACAGTGCCTGCACTCTGAAGGAGGGGTGTTAATGTTGCAGTTTAAAAACTGTAGTGTAAAGCACCCTTCTGGCAAGACAGTGATGGAGTGAATGATGGTGAAAGTTTTTCTTTTTCGGGCCACCCTGCCTTGGTGGGAATCGGCCGGTGTGATAATAAAAAAAAATAATAATAAAAATACACCTCAACATCCTGATGCATTTTTTTTTTGGTGGTGGGGGGGGCATAACTTGACATTACTTATAAAAGTTAGCTCTCTTATAAATCTCCTCCAAATAGTGCAATTTTTTGTAAATTCTATTGAAAAAGAGCATCCAAAATTGAATAGTGAGTACATACAGTAAAGGTCTTTCCACACACTGTTCAGTTTTAGTTGTACTTTTTTATTGTATTTGGACCTCAGTAATAAAACTTACAGTTTGGTCATGGCTGTATTTAACCCTTTGACTATTTCGGTCGTATATATACGTCTTATGAGCCACTGTGTTTGACGTATATATACTCATAAATTCTAGCGGCTTCAAATCATGCAGGAGAAAGCTGGTTAGTTAGTTTAATATCTTTATTATGCGCCCCATACCCATCCTGTGGGCGGTAGTCAAAAGATTACAAAGGTACATAATGGGTCCAGTGACTGGACCCCAAAGTTATGATAGCTGAACTAGTTACAAAGGTAATGAACTCCAGGTAGATCTGGTCACAATCATGTCAAGTTAGAGGTAATGAATCAGCCTCACTCCTATACATGGTTACAGTCATGAACAAATTACAAAGTAATGAACCACTGATACGTCCACACCTGGTCACAATTGTAATGACTTATAAATACAAATATTAAGTGGGTCATACACCCACACGAGCTCGTGCGCTCACACATACACACAGGAGGGTGCATGCACAGACATATGTGCATGAGCGTACAAATATATGCATACACACAAGCACGCACACCCACACACACACAGTAGGCCCACATGTGAGAGAATGGGTCTGTGTGGTCAGTGTGCACCATATAAAAAAAAAATCCTGCAGCACGCAGTGCATAACAAGAAAAAAAACTCCGACCGTTTTTTTTTTTAATTAAAATGCAGATTTTTGGTCTATTTTCGTATAGTATTTATGGTTGTATTCTCATTTTCTTGGTCTCATTTGATAGTATGGAAAACATATTACAGAAATAGAGGTGATTTTGATTGGTTTTACTATGAAAAGAACCTTGAAATGGAGCTGAAACTAGGGGAAATGTTTGATTTTTGCCGATGTTCAAAAGTAAACAAATGATGTCATTTTATTATAAATGTCCAAGTAGCCATTCTAATATGCAGTCATGAATGGGTTGACATTATTTATACGATTATTACAATATTGCAGTAGTCTGCCTAACAGTAAATCTTCTATTTTTTGTTTGAATAAATATTCAAAATAGAAAGTTAGTTAGTTTAATATGTTTATTATGCACCCCATACCCATCCTGTGGGTGGTAGTCAAAAGATTACAGAGGTACATAATTGGTCCAGGGACTGGACTCCAAAGTTTTGATAGCTGAGCAAGTTACAAAGGTAATGAACTAGATCTGGTCATAATCATGACCAAGTTACAAAGGTAATGAGCTCCAGGTAGAGCTGGTCAAAATCATGACAAGTTTCAAAGGTAATGAATGATAAACACGTTATCACATGATTACAATCATAGACAAATTACAGAGTAATGAGCAGTTAACAAACATAGCAGGGAATTCATCCATTGCCCCAACAACAGATGTTGCTAGGTGCCTGTCTCTCCTCAGTAGACAGCCATTGCAAACAGCAGCAAGTTGCCACGGGATCTGCTGCTTGCACGAGCACCATCGACCCTCCCCAAGAGGTCCAAGAAGCCAGTGACTCCGTTAGCAGCCCGATGGAGAGCTGCCCTAGGGACATGTCAGCGTCCTGGTGGACGCCAAGTTGATTGAAGATCCCAGGCCCTCGTGTGCACGGATGTTGAAGCTTGAGGAACTGAGTACACACTGCCTGTGGCACACCTGACAGCTGCCTCGCGGTTGAACTCCACGATGCTGTCCCTGTAGTGGAAGTTCCTGTGAGCCCGGCACTCCCTGCAGTGCCATCGTTGACATCGTGGTTTAGGGGAGAAGTACCCTCTACAGATGGGGTGGCGCTGGGAGTTGGGTGGGTGAGGCGGGGGAGACGGGCAGGGGTGAGGCGTTATGAGAGGGTCACTGTTTACTACACACGCCCTCCCCCTCCCCCCCAGTGGAGAGGGGGGGAGGCACTGACTGGTCCTGACTCGACAACACCAAATCCTCTGAAACTGCACAACACTTCAACTATTTACGCTGAAACGATGCACTGGGATGTCCGTTCGCTGCTCTGGTATCTTCTCAAAGCATTCACACTGAGTTCTGTTAAGTAGGGACCTGGTCAGCCTCTTTGACCAGGAGCTATCCTTGAAAATTCCGCAGCTAGCCCGCTACACAACCTGCCGTGTCGGCCATGTTGAGCCCTCCGCAAAATAGAAAGCAAGAGTAATATCAGAGGGGCCTGGAGACATGACTGATGAACAAAGAAAATGTTATTTTAGAGCCAGGAATGTCTGCATTGTTCATTCTGAACCCTATTTTGAAATTGTCATATTTTTTAATTTTCGTGAAATTGGTCAAATTGCAAATTTCTAACCACATTATTGGGCAGTTGAAATCAGTAAATGGGCAGTTTCTTGTACTCAGTCGATAGAAAAAAAATGGAGTTCTAAAGAAATAGCTATGAATTTGGTCGACTGGAACAATGGAATTAGCCGAAAATAGGGCTATAAGTGAGCGAAATCGCCGATTCATAAATGTCGCTGAGGTCGCTAACTTCACAAGAGTGTAATTCCGTCAGTTTTCCATCAAATTTCGTTCTTTTGGTGCCATTACAATCGGGAAAAGATTCTCTATCATTTCATAAGGAAAAAAAAAATAATTTTTTTTTACTGGAAATTTTGCGACATCAGGCTACACCTCAGGATTTGGGGTTGTGACAGTCAAGGGGTTAATATGTATTACAGCTCATGATATTATAGTATATAAAATGTGGTGCTGTTTTGTATAATTTGTTGAATGTGCTGTTACTCTTGTTTTACAGGTACTTTGCAATACGTGCTATTGACTCATCAAACAACACAGGACGCATCTCTAACATTGTATCTGCTTTCGTGCCAGACCCACCTACCATGCCCCCGCCCACCATACCTGTCAGTGAGCCACCCTCAAATGTACAGACAGTCATCATGTCAACCATTACATCTGCCAGCTCACACGACATAAAAATTCGTGGAAATTCAACATTGAGAGATCACTCCAAAAATGCCAACTATGACTGGAGAGTGTGGGTGGCTGTGGGTGTTGGGGTGAGTGGCATCATCCTAGCATTAGGCCTAGTGCTGGGGTGTGTATGTTGCTGTAGACAGAACCAAGACAGTGGAGAGAAAGACCCTGACCGCCCAGTATACAAAATCTATGTGAACAATGCATACATTCAGGAGGAGGATGGGGAGATCAAAGTAGTCAGTAATGGCAAGCTGGTGGATGACAAGGAGCCCAGTCAGGTGAGTTCAGTTCAGATGGTCACCCTTGCTTGGATCATACCTGATTGCTTCCCATTCCATGGACATTGTATAACCTTTATGGGTTAGGCACATGCCCATAAATAAATATAATAATAATAATCCGGGTGATAAGTAGTGCCATGCTGGTGAATATACAATGTTATAAATGTCACATGATGATATCTGTATCTTTTATATATCTAAACTTAGTACAACATATGTTTCTCAAAACATGGCTGGATAAAGTGTGATTAATTGATTATCTCCTTTTTCAAGTACTCCTTCCACTCTGCTTCTTCCTCCCTCCCTACTTCCTCCTCCTCTCTCTTTTCCTCCCTGCTTCCTTATCCCTCCCTCTCTCCTTCCATATCCCTGCCTCCCTCCCTGCTGCTTCCTCCTTTCCTCCTTGCTTCTTCCTCCTTTCCTCCCTGCTTCCTCCTCTCTCCCTCCCTTCTTCCTCCTCCTCCTGGATCTCCTCCCCTGATCATCCTTCTCTCCCTAATCATCCTCTTCCACCTAATCTTCATCCTTCCCCTGATCATCTTCTTTCTACTGATTTTCCTCCCAATCCTTCCCTTTACCCTGATCCTCCTCTTGATCCTACTCCTCTTCCTACTGATCCTTCTCCTCCAGAATGCCAGGTTTCATAGCTAGAAACTTCAAGTACAAGACACCAGATACGATTTTAACTATAATGCATTTAAACTGCATTTTGAATATGCTATCTATATAGTTTGGGTTTCCAAGTTACCTAAAAGATGAAAATAAACATAAGTTACAGAGTAGAGTTACCACCCCGGTACCATCACTCAGAAAGAAACCGTATTAAGAAAGACTTAAAATACTCGACTTTTTCTAAAAAAATTAAGACTACAAGATCTCATTCAAACCTTTAACCCTTTCAGGGTCCAGACCCCCAATCTGAAACTTGTCCACAGGGTCCAAGAGTTTTCAAAAAAAGTTTTTATTTTTTTCTTATACAATGGTAGAGAATCTTTTTCTGAAGGTAAAAAACAAAAAGTATGAAATTTGATGGAAAACTAATGAAATTACGCTAGCACAAATTTTGCTGCATCAGCAATATTTATGCATCTGTGATTTTGCCCACTTTGACTCCAATTTTAGGCCAATTACATTATTCCAGTCGACCAAATTCTTAGCTATTTCACTAGTATCACTTGTGTTTAATCGATTGAGCACAAGAAACTGCCCAGTCAACTATTTCAACTACCCAGTAAAGTGATCAGAAATTGGTAATTTGGCCAATTTCACACAAAGTTCAAATTATTCCAATTTCACAACAGAGTCCAGAATATACAATGCAGGTATTCCTGGCACTAAAATAATATTCCTCTGTTTATTAGTTACATTTCCAGGCTTTACAGGTGAATTCCATTTTGATTTTTTATTCACATACAGAATTTTTATTCGCACCAAAAAATAAGAAGATTTACTGTTATGCAGTATTATAAGCTGACGTGTATTGTACATGTGATGTGATTTGTTTACTCTTGAACATTGGCATAAATCAAACAGTTCCACTACTCTGAGCTCAGTTTGAAGCTATTTTCAGTACTAAAATCAATCAAAATCATCTTTATTTCTGTAATATAGCTTCCATTCTATCAATTGAGACCAAGAAACCATGAATACAACTGTAAAAACCATACGAAAATACACACAAAATCGCTGTTTTAACTGAAAAACACGGTTGCAGCTTTTTTTCTCATTATTCACTGCATGCTGCAGGATTTGTTCTATATGGTGCACACTTACCACATAGATGCATTCTATATCTAGGCCCAAATATACTGCTCACAGTATATCTGAGTGAGCTGAGCTCATGACGTAGTACTACAGTACTGACCTTGGCCTCAAATCCGTAGAATAACCCTCAAGGGATACTGAATGGCCTTGACACTCAAATAAAAGAACTATTTGAAGTGCTGAGTGAGTCCATAACTCAATGGAATGAAACTGAGAGGCAGAAGATGCAACACAAAGGTATGCTGAGGTTTTTGTTTTTGCTAATAGAATACCACTGATGTTGGAAGTGAGCTCATGGCTCAGTTGATAGTATCCTCAGCTCACAAACTGAGGGACCATTGATCACTCCCAGGTACATGTAGGATATTAGGCATGTTGTCTTACACCTCAAAATCCGAATCAAACTTTATTTCCACAAAAGGTGACATTACAATACCTTGGAAAGGCCCAAAGCATTTTGGGCAAGCTTAAACCTAATTTACATCTAGAAGGACTTTGGTATGTTAAATTAATTCTCCATGGGAAAGTGGAAAAGAATTCTTCCTCTCTAAGCCATGCGTGTCATAAGAGGCGACTAAAATACCAGGAGCAAGGGGCTAGTAACCCCTTCTCCTGTATATATTACTAAATTTAAAAAGAAAAACTTTAGTTTTCATTTAATTATGTAAATTATATGCCCATTTTCTAGTATCATATGGTGTATTTTTACCACGGTTGTCATGCCAGCAATGACCAGAGGGAGTGGATGGCAGGGAGAGAGCCCTCCACTTTTCTACCCGTGATTCATACACACAGATAATGCGTAATAAGCCTTAATCTAAATAGAAGTAATATGTACTGTATATAATTCATCTTAGCAGACAGCTTCAGTGTGGACTTTCCAAGCTCTCTGCTTTCTATCTTTCCCATGTACCACCTGTGAAGGGAGTAACTACAGGTGTCGAGCAAAGGAAATGATCTTGGAGTAAACAATATTTGTAATATGTTTTACACACATACATATAATGTCAGTAGAGTGTGAAAGGCTAAAACTTAGGAACCTGAATAAAGAATCTTTGAGTAAGCAGAATCGGTAAATACAAATAAGGTAAATACCAGTGTGGAGCCAAGGAAAGGACTGTACATAAAAAAAGCTGAAGGAGGTTCAGGTGTTTACCACCGGACAGGTAATAGTGCCTTCAGTTCACTTCTGAAAGATCCACGTTTGATCCCAGCATGAGTGAAAATTTTGGGCATGTTTCCTTACACTTGTTAATTCTGTTTACCTAGCAGTAAGTAGGTACTTGGGTATTAGCCAACTGTTGTGGGGGTCACATCCTTGGGAAAGAGGATCAAAGGACCCTAGTGGAAATAAGGTACACTGCTTAGCTTTATTGGGAGGAAAGATGGGGGGGTTATCCTGAGTTATTAACCCTCTTGGGATATACAGTGGTACCTTGGGATAAGAACAGCTCAAAACGCGAACAATTATGTAAGTGTATTTATGTAAGTGTTTTTGTAAGTGTATTTTTGGGGGTCTGAAACAGATTAATCTAATTTACATTATTCCTTATGGGAACAAATTCGCTCGGTATCAGCACTCGACCAGCCTTCTGGAACGAAATAAGTTCATATCCCGAGGTACCACTGTAATCTGAATAAAATCACCTTCTTTATCAACAAAGAAAGCCGAATGGAACTAAAAGAACTACACCTCACCTTTCTCCCTTTCCTTATATTCTTTCCTTTATCTCTCAACCACATAAACATGCATAAGACTTTTTGCACGTACCTTATTGTCATTTAAAGTAGTAGCTTCGATTCAGTTGCTCCAGTGATATGCTGTACTGTACAGGTTTTTAATAAAAAATTATTCCTCACTTCAAAACTTCAAATGTATAATATAAATAATAATAATAATAATAATAATATTTGTTTACACAGGTCCAAGAGTGGGTTAACTCCTTATCAAAGTTTGGATCATCTGACGTGTATGGGGGTGAGCCTGGAGAAGCCCCAGTTACTTCTACTGAGACCTCCTTGGTGGAGTGCCGACCCAGGGCCTCTGTTAAATATTCAAGTCCAGTGCGGTTTGGAGTCTTAACTAATGGGTCCATTATGCGGGAAGCATGTGCTTCTTCATCTTCAACATCCTCTTCTAAACCCTCTGATGATCAAGGAAAAGAAGATTTAAAATATCGGGACCTATCAGAAACTACCAGCAACTCTACAACAGATGGAACAACAAGTTCATCAGCATCAACGGCAATAGCAGAAGCGGTACCCCCACTTCCCCCTGTTATAGATAACTCAAGAGCCGGTCTCATTAACCCAAGTGAAAGTGACCTGCCATTACCATCTCGAGTATTGCAACAACCCCTAGGTATTCCAGGTCCTACTGTCATATCCATTCATTCAGGTCCTTCCCTCAACAATGGTTACAGCAGTGATGAAGAAGGAGGGTTCAGACCACGGACAATGTCAGGACCAGGGCCTCGTAGATATTTACCAACACACTTCTCGTCATTCCGTTACCTACCACCACCACCGGAATACCAGTCAGTGCTAAGAAACAGTGGTTCTGTTGACTACCCAACCTGTCATACCATCTCCAGAGCAACAGCCACACTTCCACATGGCACAGTTCGCAGTGTTAAGAAACGTCGTCATATATCCTTTGTATAGATAACAGCTTCCAATTAGAGCTGTAAAAATTTATTTTGTAAGACAAATTATATTGGAAGTGAGAAAGTGTTGTCAGTCTTAAGTGTTTGAAAACTGCTATACAGAACAGCCACCAGTGTCTAAACTTGCTTTGTGTTTGGTGAAGTGGTCTTGTGATACACAGCAGACATTCTTAAGTCATGCAGTACTAGCTCATACTTTCAGTATTATTCAATTTAAATTTAGGTTTTCACGTCCAATAGAAGTGTGTCATTTCCATTAAGGCATGCTGAAGTGGAATTCATATCCATTGGTGGTACGCATTTCCATTAAGGAGGACTGTGGCAGGCAGACAGAAGACTCGTCACTACATACTGGGCAACTCCACTGTTTTAGCAGTGCAGGGGAGGGTGTGAGGGAGGGTGAACATATGTAAAGAAACAGTCTTCCATGAGGGTCATTGTATCTTTACATATACTGTATGATTTTTGCTCAGTGCTCATTGCTCAAGTTTTCCTTCTTTTCATCACCCCATCTTGTCTCTGGATATTTATCATGGCATCCAAAGTGTAGGTGACACTGGTGAAGCAAGGAAGAAAATTAAGCATGAAGCTATGCCTATCTCGAAAAAAAAGAAGTAGTTGAGATGCTGAAAGGTGGTGTATGCATCATGAAGACAACATGAAGATAAAGGCTTGTGCAATGAGTAACCCTTAACATGACTGAAAAAAAAAATGAGGAATAGGTCATCACTAAATGTGAGAATTGAAAAACAATAAAGTGTTACACTTGATGGCCTTAATATTAGGAAAAAATCCTTATCATCCTATAAGACAGTGTATGAGGAGGAAGGACAGCCTGAAAGTGAGTGGACATTTAGTTGGAGATGGTCTAACATGTTTAGAATGTGCAGTGAGCTGTATAAAAAACAGCTGGATAAAACAAACCAGCAGCATATGACAATACTGTACCTGAGCACTCCATTGCAAAGGTCAACTAATGAAGCGGCATCAACATCCCAGGATCCCCAACCTTCAACATCATGTTGCAAACCCCAACCATCAACCTCAGCCCAGCAGGACTGATGGTTGTTAGGATGTTAAGCATCACCAACCTGACTTGAAAGTAATAAATACTGTACAACATTAATGTAACCATTTTTTAGTTACATGTATTCTTTCTTTTAATTGTCTGCACCTCACTAGAGAGCAAGTATTTCACAAAGTATGCTCATCAACAAAATAAGGTTGAAAAATATTTTAAGAATCATGATAGTAAATTTTTTTTCTGGAAGTCAGAGCAACACACCTCTATTTTTCCCATATGTTTTTAAGCCTATAAATCTTCAAAATAATTCATAGCACAGATTTCAAGAATGTAACCCATGTGAATTACAAATGCTCACTGTATTTTAGCAATAATTCATGAAAAAAATTATGAATGGATTCAGGGAAACAGGTTAGCCAGACTTGAGTCTGGAGATGGGAAGTACAGCACCTGTAGTTTGGAGGGCTATTTAAACTGTTATGTCAGCATGTTTCTGGCAAAACAGTGATTGAATGGGTGACAGTAAAAGTGTTTTCTTCTTTGTCAGGGCACCCTACCTCGGTGGCAGACTGCCAGAATGTTAAAAAAAAATTGAATAACTGAAACTTCTAACTGTATATTGAAAAGGTAACAAAATATTCTTTGATCAATGTACACTGTCTTTTGGAATTCTTTTGGATCCCATTAATAGCAGTTGATGTGCTACTTCTGCCGCACATTATAAGGCATTGATGCACATTATGAACTAATAGACTACATGTCACGGTATATAAATATATGTATATATTGTAAATATTTTTTGACGTATATTACATGTATATTACAGTGTAAATCTCAAATATCTTGCCAAAGATTAAATAAATGCCAGTTATGATCAGGGGTGAAGATTGTTGGAGACAACATGAAGACAGAAATACAGTCTTCGGCAACAAATTTTGTCATGGACATAGAGAAGTGCTGAACATTGTAAAATTATGTACAGTATATATTTACTTGTATAATTATAATGTTATCCTGAAGGACAGTATTTTTATTTTTATTACTCACCTGAAAAAGCATGTTGCATATATGACCAGAGAAAGAGCACTTGACAACAAACAAACTGCATTTTCTCTATTAAAGATTACTCTCTTGATTAAAAAACCATGGTTGATAACACCATGGCAAAATAAAAACCTTAGAGACAACATTTCACACTTGAAAAATACATACTTGTTTTCAAGTGAAACAATGTCTCAATAAAAGTTTTTATTCTGCTAATGGTTTTTTTTTTACCAGTTTGTTGGTTTGTAACTTCTCATTCTTATTCATTAGGTTTCAAAAGATTATGGAATAAATAAGTTCATTTACTTATTTCATAAATAATCCCTTACACTTCATAGAGTTAACAAATTTAGCAAGTGTCTCACCGAGGAAGTCATGATTTCACTGTAGCCTCCAAAAAAATTTCTTTTGAACATCCTGCATTGTACTATGATGATTCATGAATCAAGAAGTGAAATGGCATTATGGTGGTTGTTATTAGTTGGTTAATGGGGTTTTAAATCAATCAACTAAATGTGGGTCATTAAGGCTACATGTAACCTGTTCACCACCAGTCAGGAATGTACTGTACTTTAATACCCAAAATAGGATTACACCTCATAACGTATATGTCCTGTGAAGGTGCTGTCCTCTGCTGCCAGTGTAAGACAAAAGTAGAAGTACTTTGGTTAATTCTGCCCCATTATGTAATATTTATTCAGAAAAATATTGCAAGATTTTTATATATTAAGTTGACAAAATGTTTAGTGAATATAATATACTGTATATGCAGTATATAAAAATGGGAAATATGCCATGAATTTATGGTGAAATGAGTTGAACAGCAATGACATATGGCATCCCTTACTTTACTTATTAGGGTCTGCTGTGGAGTTGTCTTTACTTGTGGTCTTTTGAAGGAAGACTTGACAGGTCCCATTTGTCTCTTATAAATCTCAAATTTGTGGATAATACCATAAATAATGTAAGATATGTATACAGTACTATAACATATAGATAAATGATATAATGTCTATTGCATATATCTTATACAATGCAATACAAGTTGAACCTCACTAGTCCAGCAGTCACTGGTCTGGCAACCTTGATGGTTTGGGACAGTGATTTCAATCTTGCAGTCACTATATTTGGGAGTTGCTTCAAACTGATTTAGAAGTTCTTTTGGTTGGTTTGGTTAGTATTGAGAGATGAAATGTTTATAAGCATAGCTCTAATTTGTATGAAGTCAGGGGATCCTTAACTGGTTCACGTAGTGAATTCCAGATCATAGGGCTCTTTTTATGCATTTCATTTTTTGCATAGTGTGAGACTGACATGAGGGATGTCAAAGAGTGCCTTATGCCTTGTATTGTGACAGTGCATTCTATTGTAGCTATCAAGGAGAAGTTTAAGTGGAGGGTTTATATTGGAGTATAATATTCTGTAGAAATAGTAGGCACAATAATATGAGTGTGTCTCATACATTTAGTAGGTTCAGGCTTTTGAAAAGTGGTGGGGGTGTGCTGTCTGGCACAGGAGTTGATAATCATCCATACAGCAGCTTTTTGTTGAGTTATTAAAGCTTTAAGGTAGTTGGCTTTGGATGATCCCCAGGCACAAATACCATAGGTGAGGTAGGGATAAATTAAAGAGTGGTATAGGGTAAGGAGTATCATTTGTTTATTTTTTATATTCAGTAGCTCCTTTATTTTTAGCTTTGAAATAATTATCTTAGTCCATATATTCATACTTGTTAGTGGTTAACAGTAAATGTTTTTTATTTTTTGAAAATTGCAACAGTTTATTTCTCTACATGCCTCTTATGAATGGAAATATCAGTCCTGATATCCCACCGAAGCAGGCTAAAACTCTACTCTAGTCAGGCTAAAACTCTACTCTAGTCAGGCTAAAACTCTACTCTAGTCAGGCTAAAACTCTACTCTAGTCAGGCTAAAACTCTACTCAGTGCCAGCAAGAACATTACAGTTTTCAACTCTAATGTCGGATCATTGATTAAACACTATGATGACCTCCTTTATGTGAGGTTCATCTGGTTTAGCTCTGTTTCTAGACAGTTTTCTAGAGCCCAAAATTTTGGAAAGGGTTTGCCAGGTCCTTTTTATATCACCTTTTATTTCAATAAATCTATTTTCGTAATACACTTGCTTTGATTTTCGTATTAGTTTTGTGAGTATTGATGTGTGTCGTTTTGTCAGTTCTTTAGTAATCAGGCCTGATCTGAACAGTTTTTCAAGTTGGTGCTTTTTATCAATGAATTTGAGGATACCATTTGTTAGCCATGGGCTGTTTAGTCTCTTTGCTGTGATCTTATTCATTTTGATTGGACAATGCATGATATAGAGGTTTTGGGTTTTATGTAAAAAAGTTTTAGATCTTTGTCAATATTATTGCTTTCAGCTAGCTCTCTCTGCCAATCAGTGTCACCTAGTGCTAATATTAAATTATTTACTGATGACTTATCTTGCAGGCAAAAGGAGATCTTTCTAGTTTTGAGGCAATTTACGTAGGTTGGTTATCAGAAAGGTGAGGTAGTGGTCTAGTGTTGTCTGTGATTATACCTGCTTGTAGTGGAGACATCATGTTGGTCCAGATACTATGGTCAAGTTATGAGGCACTTGTTTCAGAGATTCTTACTGGCTTAGTTATAGAAGGTAGTAGCAAGCAGTTGTTCAGTGTTTGTGAAATTAGCTACTGGAGGGTCAGCTTCTTGGATGAGGTTTATGTTGAAGTCTCCTGTAAGTATCAGGTGGTGTTTATTCATCTCTGAGTCAGTTATAATGTTTCTAAGGTTACCACTAAAAGTATAAATATTTGTGTGTGGTAATCTGTAGACTGCTCCAACTGTTATAGTTTTTTTTTTTTTTTAGGATTTTTGATGCAGATTTAGCTGTTGTATATATTCACATTCCAGTTCATCAGAGTAGTATATGGTAGTGCCTCCTAGTTGATCAGGCCTGCAGTTATGTATGGTTGTGTAACCAGGTATGGTAAATATGTCTGTCAAATCCTGTTTGAGCCAGATTTCAGTAAGAATAATGAAAGTTATAGTAGCATTTAGAGACTTCAGTAGTGAACAGAAGAACAGTGCAGATGAAGCACAAGGTTAAGAATTGTTTTCAATTGCAACATCCCAGCAATTCCAGGAACAGCTGTTAAAAATTGACCACTGTCTGGAAAATCTTCCAGCTCCTGCACCCAACATCTTGCTCCTGGGGGATTTCAACTTAAGGCACCTAAAATGGAGGAATATAGCAAATAATATTGTTGCAGTAATAACACCAGGAGGCAGCTCTGATGAAAACTCACACTCACACGAGCTTTTAAATCTCTGCACAAAATTCAATTTAAACCAGCAAATAATAGAGCCTACTAGACTGGAAAATACACTAGACCTCATCTTCACTAACAATGATGATCTGATAAGAAATGTCACCATATCAAAAACAATATACTCAGATCACAACATAATTGAGGTTCAGACATGTATGCGTGGAGCCCCAGACCGACATAATGAGACTAGTCATGAGGGAGCATTCACCAAATTCAACTTCAATAACAAAAACATAAAGTGGGACCAAGTAAACCAAGTCCTAACCGATATAAGCTGGGAAGATATACTAAGCAACACAGACCCCAACGTATGCCTAGAACAGATTAACTTGGTGGCACTCGATGTATGCACAAGGCTTATTCCTCTAAGAAAAGAGAGGAGTAGATGTAAAATTAGAAAGAGACAGGTGCTCCCTTTACAGGCGACGGAAAAGAATAACAGAGCGGCTAAAAGAGGTCAATATATCTGAAATGCGTAGGGAGACACTGGTCAGAGAAATAGCAAGCATCGAACTCAAGCTAAAGGAATCTTATAGGAGTCAGGAATCGCAGGAAGAACTAAAAGCCATAAATGAAATCGAAAGAAACCCAAAGTATTTCTTCTCCTATGCCAAATCAAAGTTGAGAACAACATCCAGTATTGGGCCCCTTCTTAAACAAGATGGGTCCTACACAGATGACAGCAAGGAAATGAGTGAGCTACTCAAGTCCCAATATGACTCAGTTTTTAGCAAGCCGCTAACCAGACTGAGAGTCGAAGATCAAAACGAATTTTTTATGAGAGAGCCACAAAATTTGGTTAACACAAGCCTATCCGATGTTATGCTGATGCCAAATGACTTCGAACAGGCGATAAATGACATGCCCATGCACTCTGCCCCAGGGCCAGACTCATGGAACTCCGTGTTCATCAAGAACTGCAAGAAGCCCCTATCACGAGCCTTTTCCATCCTATGGAGAGAGAGCATGGACACGGGGGTCGTCCCACAGTTACTAAAAACAACAGACATAGCCCCACTCCACAAAGGGGGTAGTAAAGCAACAGCAAAGAACTACAGACCGATAGCACTAACATCCCATATCATAAAAATCTTTGAAAGGGTCCTAAGAAGCAAGATCACCACCCATCTAGAAACCCATCAGTTACACAACCCAGGGCAACATGGATTTAGAA